CCGGCTACCACTACTAAACAACCACCTCACACTTATTGTTACTGTAAATAACCAACACTTGATATCGTTTTTATGTTGTTGTTAAGCTGTTTGTATTACAATAAATATTTTATTATCCAAACCTGTTGTTTGACAATCAAATTTGAACCCACGGCTGCTTCGCTGCAGAAATATGCAGGACACTGGTACTAATCCGCGTTAGTCCACAATACGCTCTATCAGTATTTAATGCCAATTGATGATCGCAATATATGGATCTAATACTCAGAGAACGCTGCTGCCGATTCTTAGATGATTCTCTTAGTTTTCATCTATGACTTCCGTGTGAAGAGAAAGGATAGTGTTGCACTAGGCCATCACACAGCCAAAAATCTAGATAGATCTAGGACCTGACTGACCGTCTCGTTATTATAGATCACAACAAATATGGCAGCCTAGTCCGGTATGTGAAGTAAGCTTTTATTATAAACAGAGCGCGTTGTCTACTGTTAGAATAATTAGACAGAAAAGTAAATAAATATAAACACAGCCATATTAATACGTGAAGCAAAAACTTTGTATCCCTTTTTAAGAAAATTGCGCGGACGGGGGACTATGAAATTTTCTACACTTATAGAGAATATAGAGAAGAAGTGCACTATGCTAATATTTTTTAAAATAATGTATAACAGATACATTAAATCAATAAAGAAAACATTACACACACTAGATACCATGTATTTGACGCACACACGCATGCATACTATTTATTGTCAAACTTTTGTTCTTGACGTCTGTTGTCAAATTGAGAATAGAATACGATTTGTTTTTGTTAATATTTTTTATAGTGTAGTCTTGGTGAAATTTGTGATTATAGAAGTATAAAACACAATCATAATAGTGAACAAAACTTAGGTACAATTCCAATTAATTATAGTCGAATTTCGACTACTGCGGGACCTCTAGTAAATATAAACACAGCCATTGTTTTTGTACACCACGAAAGTAAAATGGTTTTATTTATGTATGTCTTTTTATGATTCCCATCTCACTCCTACTATTTTAGTAGCGGTAGTAATAATTGATAACGTCACTATCGTTACAACCTTAAGAACCTGGAGGAGAAATTGAAAATTATTTTTTTATGAGAGGATAAACTTCCGTTTATTATTTTAATCTCGATAATGACCAAGCTTTCCTCGGTTTTTTTTTTTTGATAAATTGTGTTTTATAGAAGTTATATTTAAATACGAATTACATATTGATAAAATAATGAAATATGAATAATATTTTTCGATCTTACCAACAGAACCATAAAAAAATATGAACTGGTTATTTAAAGAAAAAATCAAATTTATCGATAGAGTTGATTATTGAAAACACGAATAAAACAACATTTTCTGAAAATAAATCGTAGATAGATCGATTTATCGCCCCCGAAATTCCCTGTATATTAAATTTTATGAAAATCGTTGGAGCCGTTTCCCAGATTCAGATTATATATATACAAGAATTGTAGTATAAAACGAAGTTAATGCGATGAAAATTAAAAATGGATGAATAGAACAGAAAATAGTCTTTGGAAGTTTTAGCATTTGTTGTATTCAAATCTCCGACACCTCAAATTGTGTGCGTCTTATTTGTTTTAGGTACATCAACAGCGATCCTGTCATCAAACATTCTTAGCTGCTACTCACTTAATTCTTAGTTACAATCTGTGACCTTGCTCGTTCACGAAGCCCGCTATAGAAAGCAGAGTATTAAATACACTTGACATTGGCGAAATCTAAAAGGAAACGCCATAAACCTAAGAGATAGATAGATAGATAGATACAAGAATTGCTCGTTTAAAGGTATAAGAAGATATAAGATTATGATTCTTACGTGTCGAAATTCCGTCGGAGATAATAAAATTAATATGTTTAGAACATGAAATTAAAATAATTTAAATTGTTTCTACAACTTGCAAAACCTAGGGAAATAAGATGAACAGCGCTTTTAACAGAATTAAGTCAAGCCTATTACACTAACTCAATGCGTGACTACGCTTTTAGAGATTCTAATCTAAAGAAATACGCAGAAATCCATTTCTACGTGCCGTTTCGAATTTAATCAATTTAAAGTAACAGCAATTGTCCAGGTTGCCAGAAAACATGTTGGATCTCTTACGGAAACCGGCCATAATTTTTTCCTTAAGTCACAAAACATTATACACGCTTTTTTTAAGTGTGCGATTACGCTACTTCTGTTTTTATTTCACTAAGAGAACAGACTGCTCACCGCCGCTGGAGCGAATTAATACACATCGCATTGTGAATACTACGTTATCTCTAATCACTAGTACTAGAGGTCCCGCAGTAGTCGAAATTCGACTATAATTAATTAGAATTGTAAGTTTGTACGCTATTATGATTGTATTTTATACTTCTATAATCACAAATTTCGCCAAGACTACACTATAAAAAATATTAACAAAGGCAAACAATATTTAATTTATTCTCAATTTGACAACAGACGTCAAGAACAAAAGTTTGACAATAAATAGTTTGCATGCGTGTGTGCGTCAAATACAAAATGTAGTGTGTGTAATGTTTTCTTTATTGATTTAATGTAACTTTTATGCATTATTTTAAAAAAATATTTGCATTGTGCACTTCTTCTCTATATTCTCTATAAGCGTGGAAAATTTCATACTCCTCCGTCCGCGCAGTTTTCGTAAAAAGGAATACAAAGTTTTTGCTTCACGTATTAATTAGATACTATACACATACACGCATACTTTGCGTAAAAACATATGTAACCGAACCGCTTCCAAATTATTATTTTCTACCTATGCTGATAGCCTTGAGAGGCTATTTCAGCTTCGCCCTAACATGTAGTTGAGCTCACGGGGCTCAAACCGGAGTGTTGTAACACTGGCCCTAGCAAGAGCAGTGCTTCGCAGAATCTACCACCGGATCGGAAACGCAACCGACTGATAAGATCTGGCGAAAAACTCAGTGGGCTGTGTCTATGGGCTAATTCGCTCGTCGAGCCCTTCGTCGCAAGCGACGGGTTCGACGAGAACGCTTCCAAAAATGAACACAGATGCCGATTCGTAAAATGTTAGTACACAATTACATTTTTCCTTTAGAAATATGTAGGTATCTAACACAAAACATTTTAAGCAATAATATCGTGATATTATAATAATGAAATTGCTGGTGGTAGATCATATTATAGCCGAATGTGTAGGTTGGATATATCTACGTACCTATTCACACGTGTCGTTAAATAAAGAAAAAAAGTTTATCAACCCTAATTCTTTATTTATTTTTACTAAACTATCGTAGGGACATGGCTAAAGATAAAATCTTGAGAAAAAAAGCACAGGATTTTTGTTCTGACCCCGGAATCCATTTAATACGTAATATTTTGCAGCCATCTCCGACAAATAATAAACACAAAGTTTGTCTAGAATTAAATTGTTACACGCTTACAATTTGGGCGGACTATTTATGCGTACCGCAAATTATACTATTATTTAGCTGTGAACGCTACACAATTTGACAATACACAATTATAATAAAATAACTGATATAATTCGCATTGTTGAATATGGCGGTCGAATGAGCGTGGTTACTGAATTTCATGGGCCACCAGACGGGCTCGGCTGGATCGCATGCAGCGTACTGATAGTCTGAGTAATAAAGGCACTGACTTCTTATGAACAATTATATTTTGTCTGAATTACAACATTTCATTATATTCAAGTCTGATTGAAGAGTACTGAAGACGCGTCCGTTCGCGTCAGAGGCGCTTGGGCAGAGAAAATATATTAAGTGTATAATCTATGGGCAGAGAGCGAACAGAGTAGTTGAATCGTAAAACTGAACATTAACATAGATTATTACGGCTTCGTACTGACCTAAAACAGATAAACAATTTCGTTTTTACAGAGTAATAATTACGTCATGTGAATTTTCGTGAACACGCATTTTTATACGATAAATTCTTTTAATTTAAAAAAAAAAATGTTGTTTTTTTTGTATTAAAAATTCTATTACAATCGATACGTTAAATGAATCGGGCTAATATGAATTTATGTATCTTAAGTTTACGATCTGAACTAAACAGCACAATATATAGAATGTTCAGCACTGCGCTGCGAAGGAAAATTAACCGATATTATTAAAACTGTACTTAGATGCTGAACAATATTTTTATTGTGATTGTAGTAGAGAGACTTGCCTTAAGCTTATCGGATGGTAACTGGGTACTGACATCCATAATACAATTAAATCTAAGTTGTAGCATATCGATGTTATGATTTAACTTTGAAATTATATTAGCATGCAACCAATGACCACTGGCCCACGGATCGGCTCTCGTCGAACCCATCGCTCGCGACGAAGGGCTCGACGAGTAAATTAGCCCTCAGACACAGCACACTGAGTTTCTCGCTGGATCTTCTCAGTGAGTTGCGTTTCCGATCTGATGATAGATTGTGCAAAGCACGTCTCTTGTAAAGCTTCATGTTAGCAACGTCGTCAGGTTTGAGCCCTGTGAGCTCATCTATTAGTTAAGGTTACGCTTAAATAGCCTCTCAAGGCTCTAAGCTTAGGTAGGAAAAAAAAGGCCCACGGTAGAGGTGAAAAACAGAAACTGCAAATGTCAAATTTTTTGACTGAATGAGGTCTCGGCTCATCTAGCGCTGAGTGGTAACCAGAGCCTATAAACATCACATCGTTAATGCTGCCACCAAACTTTGGTATAACGGGATTGTTTTCTTAAAATTTTCAAGCTTCCATTTTTTCTTAAAACACAATATGATCGTACAAACATTGTCGTTGTCAAACAGTAGATTTGGATAATAAAATATCTAAGAATCGGCTGCAACATTCTCTGAGTATTAGATAATCAACCGGCATTAAGATAGAGTGTTTTGGGGACCCGCGCGGTTAAGTACCAGTGTCCTGCATATTTCTGCAGTGAACCAGCCATGCGTTCAAATTTGATTATTAAACAATGGATTTGGATAATAAAATATTTATTAATTACAAACAGCTTAACAACAACATAAAAACGATATCAAGTGTTGGTTATTTACAGTAACAATAAGTGTGAGGTGGTTGTTTAGTAGTGGTAGCCGGCATCTTGCCTCCTCTGGGCGGGAGGGAGGTATGCCGTCTGAGGGCCGTTGCGGAAGGAAGCCTGGGTCCTCAGGCCGCTGACGTCACGATACGCTGCGGAGTCGGTCACCACGCTGTCTGCGTACTGCTTGTTGAGACGCGCCTCGCCACCCCCATACTTCTCTTCGCTGTAGGATCCTGTTTGAGAGGTGAAGGCTGAGTAGGTGTAGTTACTCTCCGCGCCTCAAGCACGGATATGTAACAGTAGTAAATATCCGTTTGTATTTCGTAGCAAGATTCGCTTCTTTACGATTAAATAATCAAGAAAAGAAAACCTTAAACTAAACATTCTCTACGGGATTCTTATTACAAATGTGCCGTTTGATTATTAAGCAGATTGTTATTATGCTTGTTCAGATATCGTGAATATGCACTCACCATCATCGTAGATGCCGGCGGCTTCGTCCCGAGCGTTCTGCTCGAGCGCCCTCAGGATCTCCTCGGGGACCGGGGGGGCGGTGGGGATGTGGTCTCCTTGAGCCACGAAGCCGTTCTGGTCCGCGGTGTATCTGCAGTTCACAGCAGAACGTTATCAATATGCGCGTCTGGTTCACTAATAATCGTTATTGGCAATACAGTAACAACACGATTCATCGCTTTTACGTTACGCAAATGCAAAGATTGTAAGTTAAAGAGCTGAGTTCTCACGATATTTAGAGCTCGATGCTCCTGTAATGACTGACTAATCTCAGTGTAAGACGTAATGAGCATTGAGCCTCACCGGATAGTGTAGACTTGTCCGTCGTCTCCGGTGTAAGAGTACCCTCCCTGAGCCTCCACTCCGTTGGCGGCGACTCCGTTCTCCTCAGCGTAGATGCCGTTCTCAGTCTCGTACGCGTACGAGTAGGAGTCTCCGTTGTTGGTGTTGTCCTGACGGAGGATGGCTGCGTTCCTCTCGAGAGCGGCGCGAGGACGTTCAGGGCGGCTCTCCACACCCACCGCGTCGTATCCGTTGCTGTACTGACCGCCGAAGGCTGGTTGTGCAAACCCATTACCGGCACGAGCGAAGCCATTCTGCGCTGCCGATCCGAGCTGTGCTTGTCTCTGGGCTTCGACGAATGGAGTCTGGAGGAAGCTACCGGAACCGCCGGAGGACTGCGAGTGAGGGGGAAGGTAGGTCTTGTCCAGTTTAGCTGCATGAGACACAGCGAGGACGGCTACAGTTATGAGCTGTGGAAGGGTTGGGTTACAGTTATTTTTAATCGAGTCCATGCATTTTATTTACAACATATTTAGCCTTGGAGATTTATTTATGTGATTAAGCCTATAAACAAACTATTATTATTATAAGTTAAGGTATTGTTTTAATGATTGGAACAACATGACCCTCGGAAAACTAAATCCTCAGCTCAATGCTGTTTATCGACAAAGCGGTTTGACAAAGCACGGTGGTGCTAGATGTATGCATGTACATATGTATCTTCTCGTGTATTTGTAGCGATCGAGTGCAGATGTCCTTACCAGGTACATGTTTGTGAGCGGTGAGCTACTGTGCGGAGGCTGAGGATGCGACTGATAACAGTGGAGAGCTGCGTGTGTATATATAGGCGAGGGCTGATGATCTAGTTCGCGGAGCTCAGTATCTGCACTCGTGGATACGTCTTGCATAACGACGCCCCGATGCACGAAGAGCGCCGCGAGCTGATTCNCTGCGTTCCTCTCGAGAGCGGCGCGAGGACGTTCAGGGCGGCTCTCCACACTTACCGCGTCGTATCCGTTGCTGTACTGACCGCCGAAGGCTGGTTGGGCGAACCCATTACCGGCACGAGCGAAGCCATTCTGCGCTGCCGATCCGAGCTGTGCTTGTCTCTGGGCTTCGACAAATGGAGTCTGGAGGAAGCTACCGGACCCGCCGGAGGACTGCGAGTGAGGGGGAAGGTAGGTCTTGTCTAGTTTAGCTGCGTGAGACACAGCGAGGACGGCTACAGTTATGAGCTGTGGAAGGGTTGGGTTACAATTACATTTAGTCGGATCCATGCCTTTTGTTTATAACATATTTAGCCTTGGAGATTTAATTAAGTAATTATAACTATAAACAAACTATTATTATTATAAGCTAAGGTATTGTTTTAATGATTGGAACAACATGACCCTCGGAAAACTAAATCCTCAGCTCAATGCTGTTTATAGACAAAGCGGGTCGACAAAGCACGGTGGCGCTAGATGTATGTATGTACATATGTATCTTCTCGTGTATTTGTAGTGATCGAGTGCAGATGTCCTTACCAGGTACATGTTTGTGAGCGGTGAGCTACTGTGCGGAGGCTGAGGATGCGACTGATAACAGTGGAGAGCTGCGTGTGTATATATAGGCGAGGGCTGATGATCTAGTTCGCGGAGCTCAGTATCTGCACTCATGGATACGTCTTGCATAACGACGCCTCGATGCACGAAGAGCGCCGCGAGCTGATTCAACGGACGGTGTTATGCGAAATGTAGGCAACATTTAGTTTGCTGATTTTTCTATCGTGTTTTTATTGTCCTTGGGACATGAACGAATTGTGTCCCATCTGTTATTATGTGGTTGTCAAAGCCCATAATTGCCTTAAAAAAAAAACCTTTTTTCCTCTTCATGGTCAGAGTGGGTTTCTATACAGAGATTTACTACCTCTTTATTTGGAAGAAATGGTAATGGCCAGATGATAATACATTGGCGTTTCAGAATCATTTAATGCGGATACATCTGGGTTCTTAATCACTAGCCCAAAGACTCTTCATCATTAAAATACTGATTGTCATTTGATTATAACAACAAGTTATTTTGTATTATAACAAGCTCTTATTTGTCAAAATAATGTTGCTTGTCGATAGTCCGTGAAGCAGTGATGGATTTTATGGAGTTACATATGTCATATTTTCAAAACACAAAAATATTTTTTTTTTATTCCTTAGATGGGTGGACGAGCTCACAGCCCACCTGATGTTAAGCGGTTACTGGAGCCTATAGACATCGACAACGTAAATGCGCCACCCACCTTGAGATATAAGTTCTAAGTTTTCTAAGGTTCTAAGGTTTAATTTTTTGTTTTATGACCCACCTGATGGTGGGTGGTTATCGTCGCCCATGGACTTCAGCAATGCCAGGGGCAGAGCCAAAGCCGCTACCTACCTAATATCGATATTTTACAATCTCGAATCATGTAAAAGGTTAACTCTCATTCTATTACTGTAACATATCATATTGGACGAAAACCATAGTACAAGAGGAACACGGAATGAGCCTCATGGCATCCCATCTGCTCGGGACGTGATGTCCAGGTCCCAGTTGTTCTATTGCAGGGAAATGACGCTGGTATAGAAATGAGTGATGTTGATTAGCATGACATAGTGGATTGAGGTTTCTGCGCTGATCTAGGGAGCAAATCCCTTTATTTCTTTCATCACTCTCCTTTGTCTCTCCTATTTCTTATAAAAAAAAATTAGGTACTAAAATGTATATGCGTAACATTCTTGGTTTTCTCTCGCATGACTCTATAGTACATACAAATAATATTTGAATGGTAATCATCTGTACTGTCGGTTGATATCAAACGTTGACCTTGCACATCATTACAACACCCACCTCATCTAAACTGGACGAGCTTCCGATAATACGAGCTTTAATAAAGTTCAAGTATGATTAATTTTGTCGGCGTAGACACGTAGAGTTCCATCTCACATGGTTTTATTGTGGCTCTGGACTTCTTGTAATTAGAAGGACTACAAAGTTGAACGAAGTTATGAATTACCCAGTGACCATACCCTCTCTACAGTTAAGAAGGTTTTGATATAAGTAGAGTTCTGAGTTAAGCTATCTACGAGTATTTCTGGTTCTGTGTGCTTAGTGCGAGCTTTTTAACGTTTAAAAGCTAAACGTTTAAACGCTAAGAAGTTAACTCAAAGTTGTATCTAGTTATTTAATATTTTAGACAAGTTGCACTTATTTCATATTATTTAACAAATAATAGTATAAATCTGATAAAAGGAATTTTCAATAATTAGTTTAAAATCTTCCTTACAATTTTCTATTGAACACTATTTCTATTGATTTCAAATTAGTCTATAAGGTCTTATAATTAGGTCTATAACTAAAAAATATTATTTTTCAGTTTCAAACATGAGGTCTGAGCCTCAGTTTTATTCTACAGCGGCTTCAAGGCAGTAATAGGCAGGTTGATAGTACCGACCAGGGCAGGGTCATAAGATACCCTACTTGTAGTAACTATAAGTATACCCTATACCCTTGTAGTAACTATAAGTTTCCCATGAAAAACATAAAAGTGTATCATGAGATTGGAAATATAGCCTTCAGAGTATACGTAAGGATTTAGTTCTTCCTTGCTGATTTTAAAGATTACGTACTCTAAAACTACAAAAATCAAAAAATTTGGTCACACTTGCTCTAATCGAGCTTGAACTCAACGAGGATCGATTTGACTTCCATACTACCACTACGCCGAAGATAGGAATATACTTTAAAATAAATGTCATGGCTTCGTCTAAATACATGAGACGTAAGCAGCAGGAATCTGCTGGATGCAAGCAGTGGTGGACCGATCTTTGTAGCGGAGGATTGGGAGAGGCCTATCTCCAGCAGTGGACATCTGTGGTCTGATAGAATAGAAGCAGCACTTCATCCACCCACAACTAACCTACTAAGTAAACCATACAGATATTAATTTACGCTAGTTTCTGTTCACCAGTCAAAATTCGATCACAATTATTGACAATATTTATTTTAATTTTATCTAATATATTTTCTCTTTTGTATTTTCTTGTAAAGACGGAGAAAAAGATAAACATTACCAAATTTGGTTATTATTCTGAAATACGTCATCGAAAACTCGCCTCTAAATAAATAAATAAAATGTAAATCGTTAGACAAACAGTGTCTCCGCCTATTTATATATAGATGTGTAGATTAAAACATCAGCGCTTCACAAAATTAATTAGAACACTATTCATGAAATTCGTGTGTTGATTTGATTAAGTATTGTCCATTTGTTGTTCTACATTTGAGAGGTCTCTCTGTACATGAAGGCTAATAGATTGAAGGTTGTTGGAGATCATTTAAAATATGACTTATTGTAAGACTTTAAGAGCGATTCTGAACCTATAACCAGGACATATCGGTCCTTTATTCTACATATTTCTGAGAAGAATGTGATCCGGTTCGAAAAGACAGCCATTACACAGTAAATTGAGAATTTGAACATTGGCAACACCTATAATAAATATTATAAACATGCCAGGTGTTAACACCTTTGCCTTGTCTGTGTGTCGTGTATAATCTATACTAAGCTAATCAACCTGTGATTACGACTTTTTGGCGGGAACGCGAGGAGTGAAGTTGTGTGCTTTGTTTTATTTTGTCTATTTGGTGTTTCTTCCGGTTTAAATGTGTTATAACGGTGGTTTATTAACTGTTTAATATCTGTGAAAGTGTACAAATGTGGGAAAACGAAACAAAGCCGCTGGGCGTAACTTATCGGGATCCTCCAAAAAGTCCACTGAAAAAGTCTCAGTAAATGACCACCATTTTACTGAGATTACATTTCATCCCATATCATCTCATCTCACTCACATTTAATTTCATCCCAGTTGATTAACGTCTCAAATTAATCATCTTCATTTCATTTAATATTATCATTTTTCATAAAAATTAGAATATAAATTAAAATAAGACATGACTTAAAGGTCTTAGTAACCAGGTCATAAAATCCTTTAAAAAAAAAAAAAAAACCTGTGATTACATTTAAGCTAACTACTCTGTAATTTTAACATAATCTGTCTCTTTTAAAATTATTACGAGGGAAAAATTCCCCGCTTCTTTACTTAATTATTTTATCGAAATACAAAAACCGCCTTGATCTCCTAGCAAACTATTGTACAAATGTAGAATAAAGTCTCGTAGGCAACGAAATGGGATTTCATTGTATCATCAGATATACCAGGTATAAATAAATATGAGGAGGTTGTAAACTCCTTTGCCCGATTTATTTACATTAAATTAACATTACATCTAAAAAGATCCTCTTTAATAGCACACCTGTATTATAATCTTGAGAAATATTCTCCCAAAATTCAATAGCGCGTATTCGGATTGCGTGCACTAGCCGATTTCATTAGCTAATAATCGTCATTACTGCTATTTTGTTATAGCAATCACGGACGTCGACCAATCATAGCGAGTGATGTGCCTTAATCTGTAAAGGTACCGATTACTGACCAACGTTTATGTTTTCTTTATTTATTTTCGTTAGAATTTTTTATTTGTTAGTTTTGTGATCTACATTTTTTACTTACTCAAATTCAAATTCAAATTCAAAATCATTTATTTCAACTTAGATGTCAGTATGACACACTTGTTGAATGTCAAAATACAAATAACAATGTTAACTCTACCACCGGTTCCAAAAAAAGTCACAGTCCTGAGAAGAACCGGCGAAACAAACTCAGCGGGCTTTGTTTTTGTTTTTTCTCAAATATTTTCATTTTTTTTTAAATAAATAAAAATATTTTACAATAAAAGAAAAAACAAGTCAAAATTGAAATTGAACATTCCTTTTTTGTTAAATTTAAAAACATATATTGTTATATGAATACTAAATACAGTTGATTCCTATAGCGGGAATAGATTTGACCAAACGGGTATGTAGAGAGTGAAATGTGAAATAAAAGGTCGTATATTCTGATGATCTATAATTGGGATGCGAAAGTTTTAGACATGATTCTCTTATTCGCGTTTATACCAATAATTTAGGTCAAAGGGTCTAACAAGATTTATAAGTACTTTGAGCAGAAGAAATGTCCATGAAATCCTTTTTTTTGGGTCGTAACCAGAACCACCTACAAGAACACAGTCCCTGGTAGGTGCGCGACGTATGTGGGTTCGAAGATGATTAAGGCGAATAACTAAACTGCTCTTATGTACTTCCGCCCATGCATCCCATCCCTGCTCGGCAAAGAACTCGGGAGAGGTCAACATTATGCAATTCTGGTTTTCAGTTATATTCTTAGCATTTTAAGCCTACTCAACTTTCTTTAATTGTCAGGGAATTCCTGTCTTAAGCACAGGGCATGGATATGAGCACACAAGCTTTTTAATGACACAGTCACATGTTCCAACTGTCTCTGAGCTTCGACGAGCGATTAATATCAGGCCAAAAAAACAAGCACTTGTCGGAATGTGACCTGATCGCCTAATCATAATTGCCCGTCATATTCACATTATAATCGATATCATCACTATTGCCATTACCGGTTCTTCGCGCCAGTACAAATAATTATATATAACGCTGTATCATTTCGGTAATATAC